TTTTTCAATTTTGCCGAAAAATTCGTCCACCTACTCGAATTTTTATCTCGAAAGTGCGTAGGATTTCGGGGGTATGTCTCTTCACCAAAAATGATAGAAACTGACCCTCGCACCTAAAAATAATTTTTTTAGATCCATTTGAAATTCTTTAGTTTCGCCAAAAAATTTTCCTGTCAGTATGGAACTTTAAATGTTAATAACTTTTTGACGAAGCCTCAATCAACAAATTGGTATTCTTGATTTTCGTCTTATTTTGGCCTCTTGAATCATCTATTAAAATTTTTACAAGAGATTTTGAAAAAATTCCGCGTTACGTAGGATTAAAGATTACCAAGAATTAAATTCCATTGAATTATTATTCGATATTGGACTATTATTAGATATACTGAAAGTAAAATTGTATTATAGGGGGAGAGAGAGTGTCTGGTGACAAGCTTATGGTCGAAAATATAATGCACCTCGAGTTTTGTTTAAAAAATTCTGTTATAAGAAACTTCCGTTGCGAATGACAGTTGGGAAGAACTTAAAGGTCGAGCAGCTTGCAAGTTAAAGTTCTTGCACAGGCTCTGAAACGGCTCCGAGGAAGACGAAGAAATTACTGAAGTATTCAATTTATAATTCCCTTTGAAGCATAACCGAGAAAAAATAAATTACTTGATGAAATCATAGTTCTTTATTTTATTATATAATGCCTGTTAACTTTTATTTTACCTTGAGATCGGGATAAATATTCGTGTTTGTAATAACGCTGAGTTACGTAATGAAAAAATTAACGTCGATAAAGGGCCACTAACAATTTGTCCTTTCGTTTTTCCAAATTTTTAAGCCACCCTTGTACGAGGGTTATTTACGATGACGTTACATCCGGGGAGACTGAGATCGACAGATTCAAGGAAGAATTGACTATACACCCCCATGTTTTTTGGAATATCGAGAATTGTGTAACCCCTGTACGACAATACTGAAGATTATGCAATCTTTTTACACGACTAATATGAAATATCGACGCGAGATACGAGGGTTCTATTTATAAACGAAGTTACGTCCACGAAGTATAGAATCGACAACGTCTTTGGAACAATTGCGTATTCTACCGTTGTGTTCTTGGGAATATCGACGATCGCGGCTCGAGATACGTATTTGGAGATATTAAAAATTGTATGCCATCCTGGGTGATCGATAGAAACTATTGCAAGATCGAAGACAAGGCGTTAAATTTACAATGGAGTTAAATAAGAATTAAAGCTAGACACGAAGAAACGATCGCGCCAAATTCTATTCTCTGGATGAAAATTTCATTTCTTTCCTCCCCTCAGGCAACGGTAAAACAGCAAAAAATCGTGTAATCTCCTCGCGTAACCGTTGTAATATATGGACGTGGAATTTACGTATTCAGAGTACGATGAAATTAAACATGAAAAGTCTGACATCCACACTTTTCCAGAAAAATGTTGAATACGTAATCCTTGTATCCAATTCTTATTGAAATATGGGCGTGCATCTGTCACTGGCAGGCATGCATTTGGAAATATTGGAAATTGTACAGTCTGCCTGCGTAACTGGTACAGAATATTGATATAGGATTCACGTGCTCTATTTACAATGCCGTTACGCCCCGGGAAAGATTAAGGGCCCCGGTTTTCTCGAAAAATTTCATACGCGGGGGGCTCCCTCTCGTCTTCTCTTCCTCGTTGAAATATGGAGACGTTGGTTAGTATTTGAAAATATCATGGATGCTATGCTTCTCCCCTCCCGGAAAGATTAAGGGCCCCGATTTTCTGGAAAAATTTCATACGCGGGGGGCTCCCTCTTGTCTTCTCTTCCCCGTTGAAATATGGAGACGTTGGTTAGTATTTGAAAATATCGTGGATTCTAGCCGCCCTCCAGAAAATTTAGGGCCCCGGTTTTCTGGAAAAATTTCATACACGGGGGGCTCCCTCATCTTCTCTTCCCCGTTGAAATATGGAGACGTTGGTTAGTATTTGAAAATATCGTGGATTCTATGCCCCCCGTCCCCCCCTCTTACGCGATTACTGGGGTAGATTTTTACTTGTTACGGAGTTGACTGATATCGGCGATTGTTGCGGAAAAATTGATTACACAACCTTGGCGTTACGGCCCTGGGCGAAATATGAGGACGAATGTATCAATGTCGGTGGTTGGCGTGTATCGAAAAATGCACGGTTCCCTCGCATGACTGATACAGATTGTTCTAATCGTTACCCAGTCGCTCTCGCAATGAACGATGCCCACAATTTCGTGGAGAAACTGCATCTTTATGTACTTGGTCAAAATTAAAAAAAAATTAAATCGTTGAAACGATTGAAAGTAATAAAGAGATTTAAAAATTAAATTTTAATGAACACGAATCTCCATCTACCCCCCTCCCTGAGCGAGAGATATTTTAAAATCGTCGACTACGTGAAAATTCTTTGTAAGCCATTCTATTGATTTAAGCTCGCAATTGACGCATATTGACAACGGGATTAAATCAGACTTAACACCGTTTATGTTTTGGTGTGTGACTCTGGGAGTCGCGTGAGGCAGTGGGGGATTAAAAACTACACACACACACGTTCATCAGCGCGTTCCACAATTATTTTTAACGAAAAAAATGATCGTGAAGACTCGAAAGGTATTTTTCGGTAAAAAGAATTTTCCGTTATTTGGTCTTACGTTTGGCATGTACGATAACCCCTCGAAGGTTTCGGACACCTGTAGCAGGACACCGTGTATACATATAACTGCTTGAGATATATGTATATCCGGAATCGTAGAAGATTACATTGTCTCCTCGCGTGACTTGTACGTATAGTTCATACGAGACAGAATTCAGATATTCTACTTGCAACCGAGTTACAACTCCAAAGATTAATATACCTGCAATTCCAAGAAAATTAGCTCGCAACACGTCCACTCGCGATATAGTTGCACGGACATAATTAGCGTAGAAATACACACGCGTAGCTAATCGCGGCGTATAAATCAATCGACTTGCACTTCTTTCGTTTTTTTTTTTCTTTTTTACAGCTATAGTTGGAATAGTCTGGATCGAACCGACACGCGTGTAGCCTACTTAGGCAGCAAACCTGTAATTTAATAACAGCAATCAACGTTTCCTGGCGCGAACACGGACGAATATACTGTTGCGAGCTGGAAAGAATTATCCCAAAGGGAACCATAATTTAAGTGGAATGCCTCTCGACCCTGCAAACTGCTTTTTTCACCTTATTTAGCAGTTTCACGTTTTTTTTTTTAATTAATCTTTTCAAAGAAAAACTCTGAACTTGATGGTCCTCCATTTTCTATTTATTTTATAAAACTAACCTTTTTAAAGAATTCCAAAAATATAATTTCGAGATAATTTAGAGTTTGAAGTATTCTAATTACACTTATAATTTTTGAGTTTATCGAAAATCGAATAGCTTGAAATTTTGTAAATTTTAAAATGCCAATTTTGGCGGGAGAAATATTACAAATTTTTGTACCGAGAAAACCACCCCTTTGATCGTTCGATTTAGATAAATTAAATTTATTTCTATGGGTAGATGGTCTCTGAGCAGCTGGGTAACTTTTAAATATAAGAACGTACGCTTTAGACGTTCCAGCACTTTGGCTGGTGCGCTCGAGTGTTCTCACCTTGGTCCTCTTACACGGGGTGTCAAGTACCGTAGGAACTCTCCTGGCTGGAGTTTCCACGGTTCCACGTGTGCATCGTGGTGGATCCGAGGGTCGTCCCACGTACGGGCGTAATTTTCTGTACGGTGGTTCTTTTTTGTCTTTGCACGGGACGCGTCCCGCGTCGATATCGATGCCCGCGACTATTTACGAGGAGATTGAAGCTTTAAAAAAAGCCGCGCGTGGGATTACGTTCGACGGTGCGTGCCTTCTGTTTCGGTACGACGACTAATTGTCAACCGCCAGCGAGCTATTTTTATTTTTCGTTCGACAGTCGTCGGGGGACCTTTTGGTAACGATCCATAAATAATACGCGATGAGCAGAAAATGCATTAAACGATATAAACACATTCCAATAGACGGATAAAAATAAAATTTATTTATCAAAATCTAAAAAGTTTTGGAGACTGTTTTAAATGAACATCAACGTAATAAATTTGTTAACGAAGACTTCTGCCGCAAAACTCAGTAAAGAAGATCTTCTTTCAATTTATTAACTTTTGCAATTAATTCGTCTTTTGAAATATTGTCAGACGAAACAATGGTCTCAGAACTTGCGCCTATTTATTCTGCGTCGCTCGAGACGTCGACGAGACACGTATTTCCATCGCGGAAGTCCGAGTACATAGCGACACAAAAGAGGCTAGAATATTGTCGGGAACGAACCTTTCACTGCCACGGAGCAAAGTTTTATTAGTTTCAAAAAAGCCTTAATAGCATTTTACTCGAGACTACATTTTTCAAAAGATCAAAAAATCATTCATAAATAACAATCTCTTTTTAATTTATGAGTCGAATCAATATCATCAAGCTGGGGCACCAAAAAACACCGATTTAGAACAGGTAGCCATTTTGAATCAGAATCTATATTTCTGGACAAAATAAAAATATTTTCGTACTTTACAAACGTTGCATATTCGTGTACTTCAAGCGCAAATCATTCGAACATGTAGTTCCACTGCAATTAATTCCTGAAGAATTGCTTTAATGTAGTGCACGGTTTTCGAAAGAAAAGCCCTGTGGCGGTACTCATCCAACAAGTCAGGAACCACGAAAATATTATATATCAAACCCAAATGATTCGAACATATACTACAACTGGAATTAATTCCTAAAGAATCGCTAGAATGTAGAGCACGGTTTACGAAAGAAAAGCCCTACGGTAGTAGTCGCCCGACGAGATATAAAATTGCAATTAAAATGAATTTATCGAAACCGTCGAGATTCGTATTTCATTATCGATATTTGATTTCCAGTTCCACGAAGGTAATAAAAATAGGAATACGATTAATTAGAGAATGTTTGTTGGTCGGTTCCCCAGGGACGGCAGGTACCGGTGGCCGCGTGGCCGTCCAGCTCGCCGCTGGTCGTCCTCCGCGGGCAGACTCAGGCTCGCGAGCGGTCGAAGCTCGCGCACCAGTTCCCGCGATCCACCAGCACCAGCGCACAACCCCCGTCCCGGCGTGCACGCGACGAGGGGAGATACACGCCTACACGCAGAGGCGGCTCGCGAAGACGGGGAAAGCTTCCGCGCATCCGTCCGAGCTTCGTGTTTCACGAACACCCGTCGCGTCGTCGGCTGGCCTGGCTTCAGTAAGCTCGGAGCTTTCGACCGGCACGGTCGACCGTTACGCGATCGTCGCGCCGCCGGAACCCGCGTCCCGACGTCAATCCTACGCAGTACCCAGGACACATGTGCGTGACGGTGAACTAAATTCCATCGAGGGTGGGGAGGGCGGGAGGCGAGGGAGCACGAAAAAACGGACTGGTTTCGTTGGCGAACCCCGCGAACCCGTAGGACCCTGACGGCGTGGCGAAAGAAAATCCATAATCCATCGGAGACCCGGTGAAACGTGCCCCGGCGAGGCTGGCCAGCGAAACGAGCAGAGTCGAGAGCGGCTCGGAGACAAGAGGAGATAAACGTCGATCAAAGGGACGCTCTCGGGGTATACGGACGACGTTCCGCCGGAATGCGTCGACGCTGACGGCCGGGGGCTGACGAGAGGACCCCGGTGCACCGGGTGAACGTCGACACCGCACTCGATCCTGGCGACACTCCGCCGAGAGGACTCGACCGGCGAAGTCACGATGACACGGGACGAGCGTTACGTCGAGATCGATGCAAACGTGGAACCGTCGCGATTATCGTTACGGGAGACGAACGGGGGGCCGGGACGCCCGGCACTGGGCCAGCCCGCGACTGATCTCCAAGGTTAAATAGGACAACGACGGAGACCGTTTAACGCTCGAGCGTTACGAGAGTCGTCGAGAGATTTTTTTTCACACAGGGCTGTGAGAACTGTTGGTCAGATTAGGGGTTAGGTCTACTTTTGATTCCACGGTGTTACGAAACCTTTTTTTTAAGAGGTTAAATATGGTTTTTTAGGGGGAATCACGAGGCTGTAGAATTTAGTTCGGGAGCCTGAGTAACCAGTGCTTCTCACGACACGAAATGATTTGACATGCGAATGGCGAAGAGTATTTTATTCGAATATGATCTTCAAAGGGGATTTTTCGCGATCACGAGGCCGTTATGTAATCCTCGACGATCGGATTAGGAATTAAGTCGAGCTCTGATTAGAGGACGGCTAAATGGCCAGGACGATTGAAGGGTTGAGACCATTTTACGCGTTTCGAGGGAACCTATGAATGATCGACGTTAACCGGTGCATCCGGATTGCCCTGTCCGGGGCTGTTACGAAACCAAATTGAATCCTCGATGGACGTTTCGACGTCGACGCGTGGACAGCAAAGGTACCTTGACCCGTGGAAGTCGGTGAATACGATTTTCCAAGGGTCCGGAGTGGCGAAACCCGACGGGCCACGAGGTTATTACGAGGATAACCTCGGATCAAAAGGATAGGCGGATGAATGAAAACTCGAGTCGTCCGTTTCCAAGGGAAATCAAGATTCCAACGGAAGCAAATACGATCCCCGACGAGTCTAATGGGTCTCAAGAAATCACGATGATTCCAGAATTAAACAGGGGATAATTCACGACTGGCGAAGATGCTTCACGGTGGTCGAACAAAGGGTTGGATCGATCTTTGATCAGGGGACGGTTAAACGGTCGCGATCGAAGGGGTGCCACGACAATAAGGCCGTTTCGTGCGTTTCTATAAACCGAAAAATTGAATAGTCTTGGCCCGGAGAGTTTACGACGATTATACAAAGGGGTGTTTTGACGTCAACGCGTCGACGACAAAGAAGGGTATTTTAACCGGTGAAAGTCGGTGAATATGACTTTCGAGGACTCCGATTGGCTGGATCTTGGAAAGATCGCGGTGATTCTTCTCCGGAGTTAAACGAAGTTATTATAAGGGCCACGGGCGATGCTTCGATGCTGTCGCACAAAGAATTAACTCTCGCTCGATTGCGGGTCCAGGGATGCAGTAAAAATGCGGTGCACGGTTAACAGGAGTGAATAAAAGGACACAGAGGCGTCGGCGAGGCCTCGTGGCTGAAATATTCACGCGACGGACCGACTCGTCGCGGGAAAGATCGATGGTAATTAGATCGCGAGCTTTACGACTAAACGAATCGTTTTCGAAATTTCAATTACAGGCTTAGATCAAGGTATTTATCGGCGGGCAATTTCATCGAACCGACGAATGAAGCGGGTAATCCTTCGAGCGTCTCAAAGAGCGATGAAGAATAATTTTTTAAAGAGAATTACCTGCTTTATTTGGTCACCGTTTCGAGAATTCTCGAGCAAAAATATTTGCAGATATTTTTATAATCGTTTAGAGGAAATTTGGTGGGGGGGAAAATATTGTGAAAAGCTTCTTCCTTTGCTCGAATGTTTTTGGGTAAACTTTCTGATGGGTGGAGCAACGTATACAATATTTTTAATTACGGTAGTTTGTTAATTGTTTGCAGGTATATTTAAAAACATTGATCGATGGTGTTTAAAATTAAACCACGTTAATAATACTTGCAAAGTTTATAAAGTGTGTTGGAAAGTATTCAAGTATAAGATTTTTTCAAAATTGATTTAGCAAAAAGATTCATGACATAAGAAAGGGTTGAATGTATAGTTTCCTCGTGTCTTGTGGTCGAGAAATGCACAATTTTCGAGAGAAAAGTACGCGACGTATAAAACTGAAATTTTTTGTGGCGATTAATATACTTACGGAGAATTTGCTTGAATTTTTTCATGCAATTTGCTCCAATAATAAAGGAGATATTAATAATTTACCGATACCCTACCGAAAATGTCATTACACACGATTGCACCTCGCCCAATGATTGGAAACGAAAAATACCTTTCGTTCCAGCAAGAAAAACAATGAATAAGCGCCAAAATTAACAAAATAGTATCACTTTTGAACGAATAAAATTGGTCTTGCCACAAGTTTCGAACCTCGCTTTTATTTATATATTTTTACAATTAATATCAATAAAAAAAAATTATTAAATTATTAAATTATTTTCACTCATTTTTTAAGCACACGTTTGGAACTCTAAACTTTCGGGAAACGTAGAAAAAATGTTCTATTTTTTCATCCGAGGCACGAGTAAACTTTTTGAATAGTTTCCAACAAAGTTTTTCATACTTCATAATTCCTAATGTAATATACATGGTGAAAACACATGAAACAATTGAAAAGTTCGCTTTTAATTATTCGATCTACGAAGTAACTAATGAATATTTTATACATTTTGGTTTTTGGTTTAAGGGGGGTTCTCGTATAACATTCTTTTTAATTTTTTTTGTAAAGAATTTAAACTTCTATTAGAATATTAGAGACTATTTTTGTTTAAAATAGACTCAGTACCAGTGGAAATTGACCAGTTTTAAGAAAATTTTCTAATCTCTATGATGAATACACCAACTAAGGTTACATCGTCAGATAGAAATAAAATATTTTACTATTTAATGAAAGATAATAAAAAAAATGGATAAAAAAAATATTTTCATACAGTTTAAGGGTCCCTCTTGGTACTCCCAAAAGTCTGTTGCAATAGAAGATTTAATTCTGTACGGAAAAAAAATTAGAAAGGAGACTTTAATATTGACACTGTTAGAAGAGAATCCCCACCCTTAATGCGTGAATTGTAGCGGTGTTTTAGGGCCACTCTTTCTCCCAACTAGGCCGAATGGGGCTATTTATCTTGGCGTTTGTATTTATGAATCGGTCCCGTGGAACGGAAGGGCGAAGAAAGCCCCATTGATTAGCACGAAATTTCGCTTTCACGGCCGCGCAGGTGATAAACAAAACGATGGCGTGCCGTGGTGATAAACGCGTCCGCCAGGTGGACGTTAATTTCACGAACGAATGCGTTTCGTTTCGCGTCGCACGGCGGTTGTTTTACGCGGGTACGACGAACGACCCGTTTGAATATCAAATCGCGCAATTTCATAATTCACCGATTAGACGCGAATTTCCCTGGCGAGTCGTTCGCGAAATAGAACGAAGAGGGTGAAAGAGGGATGCCCGTGGTTACGCAACCACGGGGATTACGACGCACCAGCTTCGCGGCGGATTGTTTGTCCCGACGAATACGTATAGAGAACAACGGGGAACCTCTTCGGGGGATACGGAGAGACACGGTTGCTCGAAAATTTGTGAAAAAGGAAAGAATCGCTCGAAAAATAAATAACAAGAGGGATGGAAAACCAAATCGAAACCGACGTCTCGAGGACCCTTTAGCTTTTACAACGACCGATCCGTCGTGGCGAAAACAAATATAAGTATGTGCACAACGAAGTAAACGAAATGGCTAACCGACCAAACGAAAATACAATTTTAATGGAGGGGAAATACTTGGAAGCACCCAAAGCGATATAAATTAAAAATCTTTTTGAGAGAAGTTAGATTTTTTTGGTGGGAGGTTTTGAATTTCTTGCTAGTGTACAGAGGTATTTTCTCCATAGTTCACTCAATAAATTCAATGTTACTAGTTCCACTTGCTGCCATAAAGTCCCCTAACATTACGGAACCTCCTCCATGCTTAATCGTCCGTCGGGTAATACTCTTGTAAAATTCCGTGCCAGACTGTCTCCATACACGGAAATACTTGCTATAAAGCAACTTCCATGTCTTGATAAACATTCGAATTTGATCGTTCGAGCGTGGAAAGTGCTGGGAAATGAATATCGTTGCGCAACAATTTTCCACCATTTAATCTTTCTGGGGTTCTACGTCACTGGATTCTACTTTCGTATTAAATAAATCTCGACTACGATCATTTATGTGTATCACAATTATTAACGATAAATTTGCAGAAATTATTTTTTATTTTCGATTCTAATTTTAGAAGCGATGCAAATTCTTATTATCCTACACGAATTGATTCTACTTCCCTTTGAAACAGATATTGACAATCTTTTTATATGTAACGTAACATATAACGATGCAGAAATTATTTGTTACTGTCGAGTCTAATTTTGAGAACAATGCAAATCGTTAGTAAAAGATACAACCAAATAAACGAGAGGATTCTACACCGAAATTACAAGGTTTAGGTTAGGTTACTTTTACTTAGGTTAGGGAGGTTGTCACCTGAGTCCGTAGAAAATGTTATTTTCTTCAATTTGACCCGTTTTCTTTCGACCTGTCGCGTCTGCAAAGCCGTAAATTCAAGTAACAAGTCCACGGAAACGAATACTTATTTCAGGTTCGGGAGTTGCGAGCGGAGAGCACGTAAACTTTCACAAAGCGACGCGAGCACAATGTCGACGATCCTCGTCGCGATCTCGAGTTAGCGTCGAGATACGTCGCCCGCCATTGCAGTCCAATGGTAATTAATTCAGACCTAAGATGATATGGAGTCCGAAGACGAAGTGGACGAAGAGCTGCCGGAGGCAAAAGACACGAAGGTACGAACGAACGTGGAAAAAGGGAACGTCGTAATTGAAATCCGCCCGTTTTATTTTTCTCGAGCCACGTACGCCGCGTGACAACCTATGGAAATAAAAATCCCCATATTCCTGCACGGGGAATCCCGGCGCGAAGGCTGCACTCGAAACGTCGATGGATACGTATTAACGTTAACGTTTCATTTAAGGGAAATTGTGTTTGCTCTGGAGAGATCGATAGGATAATTTATGTATGTAACTTGTAGAGTGATTCGTTATCCGTAACAACGGCAACAAAGAGGATAATTTCGTAAATAAATTTTACGCGATTAATAGATTGCGTTTAAATTAAACGAATCGTATGAAACAATTTTGTTACGGACTTGATATTCCAAATGAAACTGGAACAAAAAATTATGATAAATTAGAATTAAAAATTGACTCTAGAAAAATTGTAAAAACGTTTTGACCTTATGCTGACATTTTTTGTTATTTTTTAATAGTAAAAAAAAAAAGCAGAATGTACGCGCGAGAACTATGTTGAATGAAAGGTCAAGGTTCAGCGAGCAACTCTGTCGTCGCGACTTTATTAAGGTTAACGTTGGTACCTCGTAACTTATACCAGAGACCCGTCAGGCATTCCAAGACGGACGACGAACGTAAAAGGTTTAACAATGGACGCAGGTGAACGACAGCTTGGAAAGTTTCGGGACGATGAAAATTTCGACGAAGCTCGTCTCGTCCAAGATGGTGGAGAGAAGCGAGTGCCAGCTGGTGCGGTCACCGAATCCCGAGGAACCGGACGCGCCTGAACCGTGCAAGGAACCCGGCAAGATGAGGTCGTGCGCCTCGGAGAAATCAAAATTACCTTTAAGCGCGAGCACCAAGACTGAACTGAAGGAAACCGACATCGCCAGGCTGTGCAGAAGCAAACGAATCATGTGCCAGGAAACTATACACGAGTACGACGAGGACGACGGTCTCACCATGGAGAAAGTCGGAAGGTAGACCAAACGATTCGTTCCTCGACTACTTCAAATTAACAGAATTAACCCCTTGAATTTGATACCATTTAATTGCAAATTATTTTTCGAACTTATGGAAGGAATGGCCACGAAAATGAATAGATTTGATTTACGAATACCCAGTGAATGTACACGAACAGTTGCGTGCAAGCGATAGTGGTTCTCTGACTTACCGACTTACCGACTTACCGACGTATCGACAGCCTTACAGCTTTGTGAATGAGAACCACTATCATGCGCACGCAGCTGTTCACAGGTTGCCGTCTTACAGGCACAACTTCAAACGTTAATAACTTTGTAAGGAAGCCTCAATCAACAAATTACTATTCTTGATTTTCGTTTTATTTTGGTCTCTAGAATCTCCCATTAAATTTTTGTCCCATAGATACCCAACACCATACTAGCGTAATAACGAATAGCGATACCTGTTCTCACAAGCATTGCTACTATTAGCTGAGACGACCAGGTATCAAGAGTAGGATTAACCATAAATTAAAAAAGAATGTATCTCTCCTGAATATGAACATCCTCTTACCATGTAGCTTGCCCTCGCCCTGTTCAGTGATACCTCGCAATATTTTCGACCTATGCACCGGGTGACGCGTATATTTTTTTGAACAAAGGTACCTCGAGGCGTATCCCGACGTAGCGGAGACTTGGCTTCGAGAGAACGCGAGCTACGAGCTTCGTCAGCGGCTGCAAACCGTGGCCCAGCCTCAGACCAAGTCGCCTGTTAGGAGCTTGCACCGGGAGGAGAGCCTCCTGACCCGAAGTAAACGCAACAGCGTCACCTCGGACTTGTTTCAGAACTGGCTGGCGTCCAGCTCGCCGGCGAAACGCAGCACGAGTCCCAGCAGGTGAATCACGAGGGAATTAACGGGTCCGCGAGCTGGCGAAACGAGGATCCGCGCCGAGGTACAATTAGTTTTCGTTCCGTGCAGGACTTACACGTCGTTGGTGGGACGACGGGAGGAGCTCAACAGGCTGGACGAGAGCGATCTGTTCATGGAACTGATCAGGGACGTGGCGAACGAGTTGGACATCAACGTTCTCTGCCACAAGATCCTGGTGAACGTGGGCCTTCTCACTCACGCGGATCGTGGCAGTCTGTTCCTGGCCAAAGGACCTCTGGAGGACAGGTACCTGGTCGCTAAACTGTTCGACGTGACGCAGGACACGGAGCTCGAGGAGGCCATTCAACGCGCGAAGAACGAGGAGATCAAGATACCGTTCGGGGTGGGAATCGCCGGCTACGTGGCTCAGACCAAGGAGAGCATCAACATCAAGGACGCTTACAAGGTTTGGACGATAGTCTGCTAGGTGGATATCGAGAATTTTCGTGTTTCGCTATGCAGGGTGTGTTCGATCATTCCTGGGAAAAATTTTAATGGGAGCTTCTAGAGGGCAAAATAAAACGAAAATCAAGAATAGTAATTTGTTAATTGAGGCTTCGTTAAAAAGTTATTAACGTTTAAATTTTCGCCTGTAGGGCGGCAACTCTGACTTACCGACAGCCTTGCAGCTTTGTGAGTGAGCGCCACTATCATGCGCACGCAGCTGTTCACAGGCGGAACTTTAAACGTTAATAACTTCTTAACGAAGCCTCAATTAACAAATTACTATTCTTGATTTTCGTCTTATTTTGCCCTCTAGAGTCTCCCATTAAATTTTTGTCCTATAAGTACCGAACCCCCTGTATAGTATTAGTCCCGCTTGGAGCACCGGAACTCCCATGCTCGAGACACCATACGAAGGATCAGCTTTTCGAATGGTTTCCAGGACCCAAGGTTCAACAGCGCCATCGACATGCGAACGGGTTACAAGACGACGTTGATCCTGTCTATGCCGATCTGCAATTACGAGGGCGACGTGATCGGGGTAGCGCAGATCATAAATAAGACCAACGGGAGCAACGAGTTCACGGAGAGAGATGTCGAGGTGTTTCAGAGGTTGGTCGACGATTGTCCGATCGCTATAGACATCGTTGTCGTCTTTTAACGGGTGAAACTGGTCCCAGGTACCTGACCTTTTGCGGTATCGGTATACAAAACGCGCAACTGTTCGAACTCTCGGTGCAAGAGTACCGCAGGAACCAGATCCTCCTGAATCTCGCGAGGAACATATTCGAGGAGCAGAACAATCTCGAGTGCCTCGTCACCAAGATCATGACCGAGGCGAAAGAGCTGCTCAAGTGCGAAAGATGCGCCGTGTACCTTTTGGACCTGGACTGCGGCGAGGCAGTAAGTTCCCGCGAATATCGAACGCGTTATCGAACGTATCGAATTGGACATTGCACGTTTCCTGGGCTTTCTCGATTCGTTCATTGTTAATTTTTTTCTAGTTAATTTGCTAAAAAGATATTCTACAGTAATGATTCGTAAATTGAACATTTAGTGAGGATCCCTCTTTAATCCAGAAATACCTGTTGCATCGTTCCTATTCCATCATGAATCGTTGGATACAGTAATGATTCTTAAAATGATCACTAGCCATGATTCGTAAATTGAACACTTCTATACCCCCCAACCAGGGGAATCCCCTTTGGACCCAGTGAGGCATGAAACACCCTCTGGTGTCGAATTTCACCTCCACTGTACGAAAAATGAACACCTCAACTTTGAAACAACGTTCATCTTACGAATCCTTGCTGTATATCTAATATCTGATCATGTATCGCGATAATTGTCCAAAGCGAGGGTCCGTTGGACTCCTCGAAAGCGGGCGGCGACGAATATAATAAGAGATCCTAAGTTTCGTTTCAGGGCCACCTCGAAAAGATCGTCGAACGACCCGGTAAATCGACGCAAGAGAGCAGAAAGCCATTGTCGAGGCGAGAGGTGAGTGACACCGGCACGTGTTACTCAAATTCGTAAGTCTGATCGTCTTTTTCTCTTTCCTGGCGGCTCAGAGCAACAACATCGAGGTGGAGGACATTTTCCAACAGCACGTGAGTAAAAATTTCGCGTTAGAGGGAGCTACCGACTTAAGCCTTTCGCGCGATTTAAGGAACGGGTTTCCGCCATTGATCGCACGTTCATTTCGTCAAAAACAATTCTCGTCGACGTTCCCAGGCATCGAACGAGAGCAACAAGTTCACTACCATCTTCGAGATGGACAACAAGAGCGAGGAGGCGAAGGTGTACAGGCCGAGCGGGGGCGATCTTGCCAGTCCCCTGGGCCAGATCGCGAGGTACGTGGCGCTGACGGGGCAAATTCTCAACATCGGCGACGTGGCCACGTGGCTCAAGAAGGACGTCATCCAATCGGGGAACGAACCGATCAAGAGCATCCTCTGCATGCCCATAGTTAACGGCCAGAGAACCGTCATTGGCGTTGCTCAGTTGATCAACAAGGTTGAGTAGACAATTTTCTGTTACTCGGTGAATCGTGGTTGCCAAACGTTCCCCTACTTACCACCAGGGAGACCATTTCTCTCGCGAGCGCTCAATTGAGAGTGTATATGTTGCAACGGAGGAGTCGGTCAAGCGCTTGCGAGAGAGACAAGAGCGTAGCCCTCTGGTGGCGAGTACGAAAGGTGATAGACCACCACGTAGCTTTTGGCAATGACGGTTACCACACTGATCGGTTCGAAGTGAAAGAATCGTTTCGATGCTCACACCGGAAGTATCGTCTTGCAGGACAACGGAACGTCCTTCACCGACTCGGACGTGTCGATCTTCGAGGCGTTCGCCATATTCTGCGGTCTCGGTATACACAATACCCAGATGTACGAGTCAGCGTGCAAGCTGATGGCCAAACAGAAGGTCGCCCTCGAGTGTCTGAGCTACCACGCGACCGCCAATAACGACGACACGGTTAAGCTGATCTCCGAGACGATACCTTCCGCGGACTCGTACAATCTCTACAGCTTCACGTTCATCGACTTTGATCTGACCGACGAGGACACCTGCAGAGCCACCATACGGATGTTCAAGCAATGCAACTTGATTCACAAGTTTCACATACCGTACGAAGTCCTGTGCAGGTGGATCCTCAGCGTCAAGAAAAACTATAGGTACCATGTTTCTTCTCTACATTTCTATCGTACTTCGTTCTTGTTATCTTATCTCTTCTGTAAACACCAGTCGATTTTGAAGCGTGTCTGATTTTCTGTGATGAGATTTGTCTTGACGTAGGCCGGTCAAGTACCATAATTGGAGGCACGCGTTGAACGTGGCTCAGACGATGTTCGCGATGCTGAAGACCGGGAAGATGGAGCAGTTCATGACCGACCTGGAGATCCTTGGACTCCTGGTGGCGTGTCTGTGCCACGACCTGGACCACCGTGGAACGAACAACGCGTTCCAGATGAAAACCGAGTCCCCGTTGGCCATCCTGTACTCGACCAGCACCATGGAGCACCATCACTTCGATCAGTGCGTGATGATCCTCAACTCCGACAGCAACAACATCTTCCAGAGCCTCTCCATGGAGGATTACAGAAGGGTGATGAAGGTGGTCGAGAGCGCGATCCTCTCCACCGACCTGGCGGTCTATTTCAAGAAGAAGAATCGCTTCATGGAGCTGATAGACGAGGGGGAGTTCGACTGGCAGAGCGAAGAGAAGAAAGAACGTAAGCACTCTACCAATAACGTCACCAGGTGATCCTCGTCTCGTAATCAATCACGAGATTTTAGGTGGTTCGGAAACAAATGGCGGATCTAGCTCTAACGCGTCCAACTTTGAACACCTGGAGTCTAAAACTGAGATCTTGGATTAAGAAGAGACAAGGCTACTTACCTCGAGTTTAATAACCTCTCAGTATCCTTCGTTCCTAGAATAATTGAATGCTCCTAGAGTTGCACTAAACTCCGGAAGCAAAAGGGAGCTAGGAGTCTTCCATATACTTTCATTCAACCGCCATTTGCTTCTGAACGACCTAACGTGTACAGTCTAATGTTAACGTTCGATTCGCAGTGCTGTGCGGCATGATGATGACAGCCTGCGACGTAAGCGCGATAGCCAAGCCCTGGGACGTCCAGCATCGCGTGGCCAAGCTGGTGGCGGACGAGTTCTTCGACCAGGGCGATCTGGAACGTCTGCAGCTGAACCAACAGCCTGTGGCGATGATGGACCGCGAGAGGAAGGACGAGCTGCCGCAGATGCAGGTCGGTTTCATCGACGTGATCTGTCAGCCGCTGTACAAGGTCATGTCAGACACCTTCCCCTGGATAATGCCTCTCTACGAGGGCACCATGGAGAACAGAAGGCACTGGCAAGACCTCGCGGAGAAGGTCGAGATGGGTCTGACGTGGATCGACCGCGACACTATCGACGAACCGGTCGAGGAATTTGTCGCGTACGAGCCCAAGGACATCGAGTTCACGGTCACTACGCTCAACTGCGCGCACCCGGAGAGAAAAGAGGTGCCGGAGAAGTCCGCGCTAGGACGATTCGCGTCGCTGAGGAAAGGCAGTCGCACGTTGAGCAAAGGCGTCAGGCATCGTATCAGCAGGTCGCTGTACGCGAGAAGCACGCCGGAGGACGCCGCGAAATCGAAGGCTCTGATCCCCGACCGGAAGAGCCGCAACAAGCTCTGTTCGCTCATTTGACGCATCACGTCCACCACGCTTCAGAGCCTGTGAATCAAATCGAGAACGTTCTCGACCGTCTGCGCTTACCGACGGACGAGGAAGAGAGACACCTTCGACTCCAAAGGTCGTTCTCCGGCCGCCTTAACGCGTGGGTCGACCAAGGACGCTCGGCACCTTGCAGGTACCGTAAATCATTTTCGAAACGGACGCCACCGAGAACCGTTGGAGAAAGTCCCAACGGGTTAGGTCGCTGACCAGAAAACTTCACCCGACCCACTCTCCCCTCTATCGGAGAAACGGAGACGCGGCGATCGCCTCGAGACTGGGACGGTAGAGGTCGCTACGATTCAATTGTCAGAGAGGGTGGGGATGGTCGTAACCTGCGCCGACGTAGCTCGTGAACGCAGGACAACGAACGGTGAATATGAACTCGATTTCGACAATCTTTTTCTATTATAGTCTCGATATCGTAGGATAGCCCGAAGGACGGACGTCGACGGACCGGGGGAACCGAACGTTGGATACTTTTTTCTGTTTTCTTTTTTGTTCTTTTTTTCGTGAAACGTAGCAGGATCGACCGTTTTTATATGTCACAGCGAACGAAACACGCGTCACGTTTCGATTCACGGCGAAGGACTCGAGGAGAAACCAGTTGGGCGTATCGGTGTGTCGGTGTGACACCGACGAACAGATCCGACGGCGAGTCGGTGCGGATTGAATTAAATGGATTCCGTTGCGTCACGCGACCGTCGCCGGCCGCGGAAAACGAAAACGCGAGTTTCGTGTTTATCGTATCGACCTGTCCCCCGTTTCTGTAATTAGTTGTTCGCCGTTTTCTCGGACCAAAGGCGATACGAACGAACACGATTAACGAAGCTCGAAAAATAACGGAGGTCCTCCGACCGACGGCGGCTGAATCGACTCTACGGATATTGTTATCGCCGCGACGTGTCGGGCGCAGTGTTTTTAAGCGAACGTGAGAATTCAGCGACACGAGTGAGACTGGTTTCTAGTCTTTTGATATAGCCACGAGTGCGAGCATGCTGTCGGAGACTATTGTGTACGACAAAATAAAATCTGAATGTGCTCAAAGATGTGTCTCTCCAATCTATTCGCCTTCTCCCCCGCTTCGTTTCCTTCGTTCGCGTGCAACCAAGGTCGAGTTTCAATGTTGTATTGCACGCGATACTCGGGTTTTAAGTAGCGCATAGATAAACAGAACTGTACCTCTTATTTCACGTGACACAGATTCACTTGTACACGTGTACGTAAGATTAAGTGCATTTCGAATTTGCATTTAATACTCCTGACTGTTCGTATCACGGAAGTACTTGACTATTCAACCTTTGAAGCGTTTGAAAATGTTATAACCTTCTGTCGGATCATTTAAGGAACAGCGAATACTGAAACGTTCCGGGAAAACGATTATCCGTGAATCCGTGTTTTTCTCGAATGATTTTCACGGTCACGTGTGACGCCGTGTTGTTCGAATATGCGTACAGAATGATCATAGACTCTAATTACAACTTCTCCTCCCTCGTCCCGACACAGTCCCTCCTCTGTCGATGACTTTTACGCAGTTTTTATTATTAAAACATTTAGAAATTACACTCGAACGATGGTGTCCTTTACAGTAACGAATCATCAAACGTTTTGGTCCTACAATTAAATTAAGTATAACAAACGGTTCTTCTTTCTTGATACTCCGTGTTATCGACGATTAATTCGCTATTTACACATTATGCAACGTCGCGCCCGTTGCATACGTGCGGAGCCTGGCGCGCGTAACGTCGCGACGCAAACAAACCGAACCGTGAAGTTTTTTTACTCTCTTGATCTTTACGCTCAAGATCTATCTGTTAACGCTGTCTGAGATTCGTTTTCTTTATTTCGTTTCGTTCAGTTTCGTTCGCTGGTAAACGGAAAATAAAATTGTTCGAGGCAGTGGCGCGGCTATTTGGCAAGATTCGTAAACTCCTACGGTGGAAAATGTTCGCTGCTTCTTGGTGCCTGCCCTCCCTCTGTCCCTTATCAAAACTTGTCCTAACGTCGTGTCAGCTTTGCAGCCATCTTCTACAAGGACTCTGACGACACACCGATCCCACAGTGTAATGCTCGTGTGTACCTGTTCATGTTATCGTTTGATATAATATGATAATATAATACTGTACGATACGGTACAGACATTGGTATAATAGTGTATGATAACGTAACACTGTATACTACCGTATGGCGATGTATGTCGTATGGTTGCAGCATGACGTTGTATGATAATGTACGTATGTTGCATGATAATGCTTGTCGTTGTACGATACCGTATGACAGTGTATGATATCGTATGCTTGCATACGATGCTGTATGATAGTGTATGATAGTACGTATGTTGCATGATAATATATATCGTTGTATGACAATGTATGATATTGTATGCTTGCATATGACACTGTATGATAATGTATGATAGTGTATGATAATACGTATGTTGCATGATAATATATGTCGTTGTACGATACCGTATGATAGTGTATGATAGCGCGTATGTTGCATGATAATACATGTCGTTGTACGATACCATATGATATCGTATGCTTGCGTATGACGTTGTATGATAGTGTATGATAGTGCGTATGTTGCATGATAATGTATGTCGTACGATACCGTATGATAATGTACGATAATGTATGGATGCAATATGATAAGATGATATTAAATGCCACTCGATGATGTTGTATGATACTGTACGATACCGATCATATCATCAGATCCTTGAAACAAAGAACAGAGAAGCTGTTGGTGACCAGCCCTCAACGGCCTCGCACGACCAATTGATATTATTTTTCCAACTATATTCGCATCACAGAATCCATTGATATTAATCGTGACGCTGATTAATACCAATCACTTAACGAGTTCAATCTACACGCTATAATATCAGATGTTCCTCGAATAGTCTCTAATCGATTTTGTAGCGGTGTACTCGAATACTAAGGAGTTTTTTACTTCTCTTGGCGTACAGATTCGACTCGACAAATATTCACGCGTATCTCCGACGAAACTCTGCACGAGCACACTTTCGAATCGACAACACTTTCCACCTGGAAGTCACACACAATATCAACCGTAAGAATCCCAGGCCCTAGAAGCCTCAAAGGTCTTGTCCATCGATTTGGTCGCATAATTACGTCGAACAGGCTCCGCGTTCATTGTGACCAAGGACGAGGCGAATACTTTTACCGCAGTATAAAATTAATCATGCTCCTCTTTGTGACACGGTTACGTGTGGTAGGTAAGTATACCCGACGCTCGAACACTTCACATCCGTAATAATTATAGTCGCGGCGGATACGCGTACCGCTGTAAAATCAGACCGCCGTGTGAAAGTCGCGGATAAAAAATGGAATCAGAAGTCGCGGCTCGCATGAGATCATCTCTCGTTCCTTAAAACGAATCAAATCGAAAATGACTCAAAAAACGAGCACCCCGCGCGCACGATCGCCGGATGCGTAGAGAGAGAGAGAGATAGAGAGAGATTTCTGAAAGTTGAATCGCTCGCGTTATACTGTACAAAAATATAAAATAAAAAACGATCATCACGCATACAATATACACACCTGGGCACCGCGACGTCGGTGCGCGTAATCGTAATTTTATCCTTGATCACAATGTTCACACGATTAATCCGTTTAATACAATGTATTCTACTAATATAATCACCTCTTTTTTGTTCTCGTCTTTTCTTTTTTTTCGTTTTTCGGTATTTTTTTTTCTCTTTATTTTTGTACAATTTCTCTTAGCCAATCCCTGGACTTCTCAGCGCAAATACTTTTGTGCCAGCAATTTCGTTTCGAATTCTGTTAGTTATCTGGAGAGGTGTCGTCCAACGGCAAGGCGAATTACTCGGCTTCACGCACGTGCTCGAAACAGAAACGGAAAATCGACTCGGGCGTTCTCGTGAACGTAAAAGCATCGTGGAAGATAGATCGCGGAAGAGGAAATAATCAATGTCGCTCTTAGTGTTTACGAAGCATAGAAACTTAGAACGCGCGGAGATAAACATTTTCAGTACTTGACGGGGACGGTGAATCAAACTTGAAGCCAAACCCTGTTCCCCGCGCGAACCGCGTGGCGGTCAAGTTTGATTCGTGTGTCGCCTATTAAATGCAGATGACGATAAAGTCTTTAAACGAACAGCAAAAAACTGTTTAAACCTCGCCCAATGCGCGAAGGAACGAATACGGTACCGGATTTGTAAATAAAGCTTTTGTATTTTTAACGCGACTTGTTGCGCGCGTAACAATTGTTCTGAAATAAACGTATGGCCCCGTTCCTTCGCGTTAAACGTTTTATTTGCACTGTTATATATATATGTATATATATATATATAACTGTACGCGCATAAAATTTAACTTGTACAACGCCATGGTCTCTGTACGTGTCCATGTTTTAACTGAACTCTATATGTGGACTCCAAATACAATAATTCTAAACCGATCAAAACATACATGCAAAAATAAACTCTGTCGTTGTTTGCAGACAAAACCTGTGATAAATTGTTAAATTCCATCGATTCTGTTTGCATCCGTGAAATATAAAATTTGCCCTTGAACGAGAGAATCGATTCTTATTCTGTGTAATTTCGAAGAGGGATAGGGTGTCGTTCGCTGAATTCGTGACAATATTGCGTGTATGTTTACAAAACGGTTCACTGGAAATTGTAAATCATCGTGGATCGTTACGAAATTCACGTTGCATTAACTAAAACAAAAGAGGTCGGAGCTCAACGTAATTATGTCCAGAAACACTCATCGGCTCACATAGGTCTGCAATCCTGGCAAAGTGGCAGAAGCGCACGGATCACATAAAGAACTCCCTGGATCGGCTAATGTGCAGTCACGACGCAGGTCTGTCCAATACTGAAATTTCTATTAGCCTAAGTCCACGCATCGTTGGATCTGTTAATAACAACCCACGTGGCTTGTAGACTCTGTCATTTTGTTCGTTAACAAACTTTGCCACTTTTCGCAAACACTTTTCGTAATGAGTCTCTGTACATATATAAATTAGATAACCAGTGAGACAGGCGAGGCAGCCTTCGCAGTACGTAGAACAACTGGCCCGTTCCGCTTCGGCAAAGTAGTTGTTCAACTGAGTGATCGTATACTCGAACGACTGTCTGTCCAGCTAAATTGAGAAGTAATATAGCAAAACATTTCCGATAAATGACATACGAATTGCAAATATGCTACTTTCTAGTTTATAAGAAAAGAGTCGGGTCAACAACCAAAGCCGATATATCTCTTCGACATCTTCTAGCATCCTATAGGGGACTTAGATACATATATATATACACAAATGAACATAAATTGACATTAAAAGTAGAAAACACGTAGAAACATCGAATGACGGAAACAAAAATCAAACTCTTTCTAATTGTCTGAATTTTCTAAACAACGACAATCAAATTAAAATTCTATTACATACTCTGCTCTCTAATTCCGTTGGAAACTCTGTCTGAAATTTAACCATAGTGCCTTCACTGTAGTCACGTTGTATAAAAACTTTCTGACAATTTGGTGGAGGCCCCCCACCTCCTTGTCCCCGACCAGCTGACATGTCCTCCAGGGGTGTAAGGGCAGCGTGATTGCCCTGAAAAAACGTGATCAACAATCTCCTGATCAAACGCTTCCCTTCGATATCGGACATCTATCCTTCCACTGTCTGCCTTCACGACGATTATTATTTTATTCTGTCGCGGATGTATGTATTATCAGGGTGTCTAACCACAAAAACCGCACCCAAATCGCTGGATCGAAAATTGTTGACGAAAAATTGAAAATCTAACGATAACCAGGTGACATGTCATACCCGAAATCAACTTGACTTTCAATGCAAAGCAATCGAAACAATCGAGGAACGAAGATGTTTCGCTGAGTGAGTGACAGTGAAAGAACGAAAGGAAGACAGCACGAAAAGTGGACTTACCAATGGCATTTTGAACTTCGTCTTGACGATTTGGTAGGACAGGTCCGTTGAAAATAATCTCGACTCGCTGGTCGGACGCGAAACGAAGCGATAACACCCGACGGATCGAACGACAACGAACGTATCTTCGATAATACGGAGGGTAGTGCTCTGACCGACGGACTATGGCACGACGTCGCCATGAAGCGTGCGCGCGCAATTCGTTGTAATTGAAACAGGCGATTCATGGTGCCTTCGCAAAACTCACTTACACTAATCAAATATGATCTTAATCATATAATAATATATGTAACTTCGCGGCAATGTTTTACAATTACTCGGACAATGTTTCACGTTCGAACGTAATGCCTTTCGATGTCAATCATCCATTACTATTTAAATCGTTACTTGCGATCATTCTGTACGCTATTTTAGCATCTGCAATCGTTCCTTTATCTAACATTTCTCGTTATTTTATTTCCCGCAATAATTGTAACAATAAATTGTTCAGTTTCGAAAGAAAATTGTTTAATAAACATTGATTTATTGTCGAATTTATTGAGTCTTGAGTTATTGAGCTTAAATATTGTACCGGGTGTTTCAAAAGTGTACTATACAGTTCTGATTATCTTTCACTCTGTATCGATCGAACAAACGTCACGAATGAATCGTTATTAGTTGATTTTATTTGTCATCTATTGTTCGAATAAAATCTTGCCCACCTTTGGTGGCAAGCAATTCTATTTCGTATCACATGAATGGGGGACTCTCGAGTGTTTTACCATTTCTATCACTTCCAATGTTATCGATTCAGACTGGAAGAAGATTGCAACGCTATCCCCGATTTCGAGAATCACTTATTCGAAGACGATCGAAATTTAGATTATCATATTAAAAAACACAAAGTACAATCAACATGATTGAGTACCAGAGAAACAAAAAATAGTATGCAATAACTCACCAATTGTAGAATGCAATCAAGTAGTACCTTGGTGATGAACCGACGATGATGCTGCTGCACAAGGATGTCGTGAATGCTGGTGAAATTCTCCATGGTCCACGAACTTGCCACGAAAAACCACAAAACATTACAATCCTTTACAAAAGATACAATGATATGTTACTTGTTATAATAAATCAGACATACCAACATTCCATTTGAAATTCGCTCGAAATGATTTTCAACTGTCATGGCGTCGATTGCGCGCCAATAGCACGTTCCTGGCATTCGAATTGCAATCCGAAACTGTAACAGAAGTAAAATACAAATTTAATGCAAATGCGTTTACGTAAATGCACTCGTATTATAATACGGCAACAATTTAACTCGAATTATATTGGAAAATAGTAATTTAATTCAGACAGATCGGAGAAAATGCACAAAATCGATTGAAATCTTTTCACGCTATCGATCGAATTTATAATGAAATATGTATTAATATTGGATGAAGGCATCGATAGACAGTAAACGGAAGTAATAATAACGATTAGAAGTGATTATGTATTGATAAATAAAAAATACGTACCTCGTTAGTCGAAAAACACGTCCCACCTCGCCAATTTCCAGAGAACAAATGACGGTCCCTCGCTCTAGCGTGCCAACCGTTAAACTAAATGGCGGGACATGGGAGAGGGAAAGATCAAACCCCTCATCGAAATACGTATTTCTAGAAGAAAAATTAAACGACATTGAATCTCGCATCTCGAATAATATTGTTAATACCTGTGCTCAAAGGTGCCTCAGATAGAAATTGTTGCTACAAAATGAAACGTAAAGATACCAGGCAACGTTTAATTTCCTAATGATTCATTGTCGTTACACTTTTCTACTTTACACAGTTGTCTTTCCATATACCTTAGAGATTAAGCCTCACAATATAATTACCTTATTTTAAAAATCGTTAACCCACAGACGACGTATACGAGTAGACCTCACACTTTATGGACTTTCGTGGCCCAATCTGACTGCTATGCCGACCTGAAAATTCGGAGGTGATTTTAACGCCCTCTTCTCATGGATGGCGGTCAGTTGAGAAACTATTCGCTGAATTAGTATTGGTAGGCAGTCAGCTGTAGCGTGTATGTAAATACATGTGAATTGACTATGGAAGGGATTGAAATTAATTTCAAAATCTGTTGGTAATGTTGCAAATGACACGAAAATGGTAATGGGGTTTCGAGACCCTATAAAAATGGGCTGAAAAAATACATTGGGTGAAAGGTCTACTCGTATACCTCGTCTGTGGTTAAACTTTCGTTAACCTAACAGCAGAAGCCAAAATTCTTGAATTTGCTAATGTTGCCGACTTTAATGGTTAGGTTGAATATAGTTCCCCGAGATTTGCAGAGTGCGCTGCAAATGCATTAATTTGTTTCATGAGATCGGCACATACTGAAGATCATGGAACATAAATTCCCATAAAACGAAACGTTCGTTTCGGAAATAAAAAATCAGAGACTGCATGCCACTTCGTGAATTCTTCATAATAATAACCCATTGTAATTGCGTTTTACTATAATCGCAATGTGTATGCTTGGTGTACACGTTGCTGTTGATCGCAATAGAATGAAATGCTATACTATTTTAGTCCGCGTACCAAAAATGAATAGAGTAAACTAAGTCACTCGTCAGTGATAGAAGCTTACAATATTTTCTTGATATTTTGAAACGATTTAAAATACGTGTAAATATTTTAAAAGTTCCGAAAATTAATTGTCGAGATCGTATTTACAAAGCCGTAGGCATCCTAAAAGGTATCGTATTACAAGCTGTAACACGTCAATGGTATTTCCAAGCAGGAATGGGCATATTCAAATAATTTTATAATTGAAATACATGTAAAATATTGACTGTATCGTTTAAAATAATCGATAAACATTAAGTCACGTTCCATTTTCTCATTAAATATTGATATTTATTTGTATTTTAAATTCATTCGTGCTGACGAATATTAAATACTCATTTTACTTTCGATGTTTCGACGAATACCGAATACACTATGTAATTAATATTCGATACCTTGTTAATAAAGAATATTTATACTCAGATTCATTAACGAATAGAAAATATATTTTTTGTAAAATTTGTATAAACCAAAATATAAATATTTTATAAATCTTTACAAAATTTAAATACTTTGGAAAACATTTCGTGGGTTATGCCCTTCGAAAATTTTTAGGAATATATAAATTCAATTATTTATTTTTCTACTTATAGACGATTTGTTAATGCACACAGTTTTTATTAATTTTTCCTAATAAATACTTAATACGATGTACGAATACTAATAAATAATAATTAAAAATAATTTTGTATCAATGTGTAGTTCTTCCTTTTATCAAAAATATCTTATTGTAGCAAATAAAAGATGGATGTAACAGAAGCATGGAATATAATAAGGGTAAAGATAATTGGAAATAACGATCAAGATTTTGTTAATGATTTCAAAATGCAATGCACAGATGAAGAACGTATAATATTTATCCTTAATGTTATGTTAAAATATAATATTATTCCTAGCATGTATCATGATACAAAGAATGCAAAGGAATCTGAGAAATTGAGGGAATGTGGTAATAAAATATTTCTTTCCATGCCATTGACAAGTACCTCTTGCATGGAAACACTAAGACTGTATACCGAAAGTATAGCTTATGCACCTTATCCTTCTGAACAGCTTGCTCTGGCTTATGCAAATAGATCAGCAGTTTTAATAAAATTACATAAATATGAAGAGTGCATTTGCGATATAGATAGAGCATTGGCATTAACGTACCCAGACAAGTTAAGAGCAAAAATTTATGTAAGACAAATTGATTGTTTCGAGGCTCTGAATCATCCCAGAATGGAATTTGCTATAGACGAAGCACAACAGTGGTTGAACAAAATGTCTTTGGACAATGTTAATTGTAAAAACTTAGATGACAAACTTGCTTCTATAAAAAAGATGCCAAAAACATGTAACACGAACAAACAAAGTAATAAAAAACATAGAATTAAACCTCCTCTTCCTACAATAAAGACTTGCAATGCTAAATTTCCTTGTGCCTCCGATGCATTAACTATGAAGTACAATGAACAATATGGTAGACACATTGTGGCTACCAAAAAAATAGAACCTAATGAAATACTAGTTGTAGAAAAGCCTTATTCGTTACTTTTAAATCCTGAAAATATGTACACGCATTGCTCAAATTGCTTAGAAGTATGTTGGGCTAATATACCATGCGACTATTGTACTTGCTCTATGTATTGCTCGGAAGAATGTAAGATCACAAGTTGGCAAAAATATCATGACATAGAATGCTCTGTGTTTCCTTCTATGTTGAAGATGAATTATAGCACGTCACAGTTATTTAGCTTAAGGATTGCTATACAGGCTGTGAGAGAAAGTTCGAGTATACAGGCATTAAAAGAAGAATTGAAAGAAGTCGACGGTTGCAATGGTAATTAACTTCGTACATTTAACATGGAAAAATAGTGATTTTAATTGTGTAATCTTTCAGATCCATTTATGAAAGGTTTCTCTAAGAATGGTGTTCTTATGGGCAATAAATATAGATGTTTACTAGCTTTCGACACTCATGCGAAAGATACGGAAGACCGTTTGTTTATCAGATCCCTGAATGCTAGTTTTATTTTATACACCTTGGCGACGTGTACCAACATGTTTGGGAATCCCTTGAAGAAAGATATAGCCGAGTTGCTGAAAATTAACGACGTCACATTTGTCGGCGGCCTCATATTAAGGAACCAACGGTTGATTCCCTGTAACAGACACGGCGTATGTAATCGCGAGAAAGGCAACCATACGAAGACTCTAATATGAATTTGCCTTGTGAACTTTCCGTACACGCCGTTTCGGACTATAGTAATTTGTTAACAATAATTACTTTTATAATCTTATAGATGTCGTAAATAAAACTGTTAACCTTGACAATGTGGGGCATATACAACCCACGCGACGTGAACGGAAAGTTACTTATCTCGATGAAAGTTTTAAAAAAAGTACATAAAGTATAGAGTTGATCAATTTGAAAACAACACGAAACTTGAAAGATTGAATCGATGTTTTACTGTATTTTCAGTTCACGGAACTGCAGCTTTGTAGAATGCTCCCATTTTCACGTGGTAGTGCAATGATGCCGTTTCTTACTTTATTTAATCACAGCTGCGATCCAAACGTAGCCAGACATTCGAGGTCTGGACATATGATTATGTCTGCCCTATACCCTATTGAAAAAGGCGAGCAGGTATATGGACGAATATTTAAATCAACCGTAGAAGTTATATCAGTATAACGCTACCGATAAAAATTATTTTTTTTAAAGATATTCGATAGTTATAGCCAGCTCTACTCGTATATACCAAAAGCTATACGACAGAAAGATCTACTAAAGAAATATTTTTTCAAATGCAATTGTTTACCATGCCAGGAAAATTGGCCCCTATTTAACGATCTAAAATCGGTTATTGTGAGTTCCTTAATAATGAAATTTACACCAAAAATTACAGTATTTGGATATTTATATTTGCTCTATCTGATAATAGAATTTCGGCATCAAAAAGGATGTTTTCTATGACGTCGTAAAACTGTTAAAGAAATGCAACACGTACAAAGAGAATGCTAAAAAAGGAATAATTTTTGATAAATCTGATATTGTAGATGATGCGATAAGAATGATTAAACTTTTCTATTACCAGACACCAAAGCCCTGCTTGGAATTGACGCAACTGATAGAAGAGTTGAAATCCATCGTCTATTTAACCGGGAACAAGTTCGAAATTCCCAGATTATAAACGTGTTTTGTATAATTACAAGTTGTCATTTTTATGAAAAATAAATGTATGCTTTCCGAATACTTTGTTTATTTACAATACGTTTCAAGGTATTGTAGTTCGATCGTAATAAGTTACTAGTCCAATGAACCAATTTTAACGAAATACCTATCGTATTATTTTCAGAATGAATTTTGATACAAGTAAATAATATTTTGTAAATGTATTAAAATGTAATGTATTATGTATTAATAAAAGTTTGCCCATTGCACCACTAACCTATTTCAAAGTTTAAATAACACCATCTGGCGTACTATTCTCGCGACAATTGAGGAGGAGAATTTCCCAATAAATGGACACTGTATTCCAAAAGAAATGTCCTCAAATAAACACTGACATTATAAAACATTACAACATATATCCTTATTTTTATTTCCATTAAAATCGTGAATTGTTCACGTATTTTTCATTAACGACTGAAAATATTCAGTCAAACAATAAACAGTTTTAAAAAGTGAAACAAGTTTTGTTTAATAATGTTCACCGACCGGTCTCTCGATACCGTCAGTTTCGATTCGCAATTATCACCTGCAAAGTATGTCGTTTAATTATTCTGATATTTTTATTGTAGAAGTTTCGTTATTCTTTTTCATTATGAATGTCTTCCAGATCGGAATTGTCGGCGAATATACAAACAACGGAGATTATTTATAATCAAAACACCGTGCAAACGGTTGAGACAAGAAGCATCGAGGTGCGTTTTAAAGTTACCAGGTCAAAAAGGATATATTTTTATATGGACTCTTTTCCGATTAAAATGTCTTTTCTTAGATTCAAACCGTACCAGAGGAAAAGAAGAAGTCAGAAGTAGACTATCAAAGATTGGCTCAATTTTTAGACAAAGTTACACCAAGTATATTGAAAGCTTTAGATGAATCATACGGGACCAATGCATTTGAAGATTATGAGCCAAAAACCAGCGACGATTCGCTTGCAACCACTCAGCTTCTACAAAAGATTAATACTGCAAATGAAACAGATTTGCAGGTAACAGCCGATTATTCCTAATCATTAATATTTTATATGATTTTGAACTATCTAAATATGCTTACAGATGAAAGTGAGCGATATGTGTTGGAGTAATGCAGGTGGAACATTAGCTGTATCTCATGGTAACCCATATCATGAAACATGGTGCGATCATCTATCTAAAATACAGTTGTACAGCCAAACAAAGGATGGTGATTTCACAGATACACCGACTAAAACATTAGAAACAAATTCTTGCGTCACCTCTTTAGCTTATCATCCGGTCGATCCATCCATTATAGCAGCCGGCTTGTTTAACGGTAACTTATAAAATTGTCAAATAAATATGCACGTTTATGGATGGAAAACTCTACATATATCATTTTTACAAAGGTGATGTTCTTGTTTGGAACTTAAGGGACGATGTATCGGCGGCATCAATGGTTGTCTGGACGCACGGGGATAGCGTGTCTCAAGTGTGTTGGAAAGCAAGAACTCCAAACGATGTATCCGTACTAGTAACCTCTGGCAAAGATGGATATATTTTCATTTGTAAAATAGTGGCTAACATTAGTCTTGCTCGTTCATACAAACGGTAATTGTTGCTTTCGGAATTGTTGATCCGTCGTTGAAATTATTTCCTGTTACGTCGTGTTCCTCTTTAGATACAAAGTAGCCAAAGAGTACAATCCAATAGAGAGTTCAAGGCCACGTAGTGCGGGTGGAACTCGTGAACGCGCGGTCGAATCTGGTTTGTGCATCACCAGCTTCGACTTTTCGTACAAAAATCCTGCATTGTTTGTTGTGGGTACCTTGTGCGGTGGATTATATAAGTGCAGTTTAAATCGCGTCGCTCCTATCGAAGGTGTGCATTTTATTGACTTTCTTTTAGTACCGCTGTATTGGAATCTTATATGTTTCGATTACAGGAGATGAAGCTCTTATGGATCCTGTAATAGACGAATACGACAGACACGAAGGTAGCATCACTTGCATTAAATTCTCTCCTATTCGTAATCTTTTTGTCAGCGCTGGCACGGATAAGGAGATGCGTATATACGATTTTGACGAGGTAAAGATTTCGTTTGTGAAATTTACTGTGTACCAAACAAAGTATATTAATTCTATTATTATTTGTTTTATTCAGCATGTGTGTCTACGATCGATTTCCTTTGAAAATACGATTGTAGGATTTACGTGGATGATTGGAAATAAAGATGTATTGGCAACTTATGGCGCCGGTTCGAACGTAAGACTGTACAATGTCACGGATGGTAGACCAGTAACAAATGTGAAATTTGAGACTTCCGACAGGGAAAACACCAGCTGTTTATGCGTCAATTCTAAACAGTAAGTTCCGGCAATATACGATCGTATATTCCCGTCATATTATTTATATGTTTGTTTTACAGAGACTTGCTGGCTATAGGCGACACCCAAGCAAATATAGAAATCTGGAAAATTCCACGACGATTGTTCTAACGATATTACTTAACGTTTATTTAATTCACAAATTGTACTACTAATAAACTTTGCTTTTCCTACGACACATGTAACAAAACAAATGTATATTTATTCAAACAAAATATATTACTTTTGTACGAATTGTATCCGTGTTGTTTTATACAAATTTGATTCCCACATTTCCTGTCAACAATGTTGCATTCTCGAATTCTCTTGCAACGAGGATAATAATACCGCGATATTAATAACACATGATTACTACATCAGACATATCGTGGACGAGCTTTAAATATACCAGGACAACTTCGAAGCGGACATTTCATTGCCCGAAAATAGCTTAACATGTTTATTGCGAAAATACACGTATAAAGAATGCAGATAAAAGTACAAGCAAACAAGATTGTTGGCAGTCTAAGAAAATATTGAAAAACAGTCAGATACAAAATTCCGTATGCATAATCAATGCACGTATTTACCGATTTTTTCGTAAGTTTCAATTACTTTCCACGATATGACCGAATAAGTGAAAGCTTAAGACAGATCGACACGACCTACTATTGTAACCAATTCTAGAAAGTTTAAGAACTTACGGTACCGCCTAGGCTGGAATCTGTGAATTACAAGTCGAAGGATATTATAATGTTATTATTTAAAAATACATTTATTAACACTTCGTTTTCGGTACAAAACCATAACCTTAAAACATCTCGTGTTTTAAAGTTATACAATAATGTTGTTAACGGCGAAACGAATGACTATAACGGTCCAAACCGATTTCCCTCGCGTAGAAAACAGTTATGCTCGTCACGCTCTTACTTTCAATTTTTGAGCCGTGACTTCATTTTTTCGATTAGTCACACTTGGACGTCATAGTTACGCGCGTCACGAATTATATGAATAAGATAAATTTGCCACAGCTGCATGTAACCACACAGAACAAAATCAACAATAAGAATAATCGTCAAACAAGTCAACTTATCGTTCCTTTCTTTCATTCAACACGACTGGTTTACGTAAATCGATGCAACGAGAGTATTAATCTTCATACTATTTCATCAAGTTTCGAGGCCACTCAATCAGCGTAGATAATCGTTGCAGATTGTAGATAATCAAAATGACTAGAAGAGATTTGGTTCAATCCATAGATGGTCGAATAGAGTTGATACTTCTTTTCGTCACATCGCGACCTGTAACAAATAAATATTTCTGTAATAAATGCCCACACAAGCACAATAATCTTGACCGGGCATCGTCCAAGTATTCGCCAAAACCTCCTACACCGCGCATTGGTGGAAAAATAGTCGCACGATGACACTGCAAAATGAAACAAACATAGGTTAAGTGATTGAAAATAAGTTACTTGATTTATTTTCGTTCTTTCAAAGCACAATAAGTTATCATTCGGTTTTTACAGGCAAGCAATTATTCAAATTGCTATTTTGATATTTGCTATCGATAATTTTATAATGCAACGCTTCTCGACAACACAAAAAAATGGGTCTTGTCAGAAATTACGACGCGACTGTACGGTAAAACTTACTTGTTTTTCTAGTGAAACGTGACGCGACATATTTGACTTCCTGAACGTTCCATAGCGGTTATCTTCCATGGCCTTCTTAAGTTTTTACGCAAATGTGCTCGAGTCACGCTCGACACATGTGTACGTACATCTGCACACACAAGCCACATGTTGCGTCAGAAAAAATTGTTGGTATTCGAACGAAATTAAGTTTCTTGCGAACAAATTACATTTGTAAAACTGTAACAAAAAATGGAGTTAATTTACGAAGAGTATAGCGTTATAATTTCACAAGAAAAAATATACGCACCTAACGAAGCGTTATCCAAGCTCAGAGTTTCACGTAAAATCTAATATCATTATTCGACCCTAGAACGAATGCAAGTAATTCAGGTACAATAGAATTTTATTGAAAAGGAAAACAATTTTATTTAATATCCCTCCCGAGACTGGTAAAACTCTGAGTTTGTCCTTACGAAGGACAAGTTTCACAGTAATCCTGTAAAAAAGCATTCACAAAGTTTGCCTCGAAAAGAGACAACTTTGACCATTTTGTCCTAAAACGGACACAAGTAATTTGTCCTGAAAAGGACAGTTTTGATCGAGTGTCCTGAAAAGGACAGTTTCTTTATGTTCAGTTTAACCTAAAAAGTTGCTTCTTCGTGGATGAAGTATTTGCGGGCCCTGAGAAGGGCCCTAAATTAAAAAGGGATAGTAAGAGGAAATGTGGACGGGATATGCAATAGTCTTGTTGAGGTGTAAGACGAAAACAAAAGCTTAAGGACGATTCTCGTCGAGTAGTCTTGAAGAATGAAAGGTTATGTAGTTTCGTAGATTATTTCCGCCATGTTTCGTTTCGCTAGTACCAAGGAAAAGCGGGGCAGGAAGAAAGTTGGGGGGAGGGGGAAAAACGAGACGGGGACAAAAAAAATAAGGGGATATTAGTTGCGATACCAGGAAACGGTAAAAATTTTCTCCGGGTTCTATTTCTTCTTCCATTTTGTTCGTGAAATGGCTCCATCTGCGCTAGGTAAACACCAAAGAAACATCAAATGCGGCGTGTGTCGTGTTCCTTCCAGCGTAACGGTGCCTTTCATCGAAAATTGTCAGGCGTTCCCGTTACAGAGACAGCTTTCTCTCCATTTTGCATCTCTACCTCTGCAATCTTTCTCTCGACTCATCGAAGTTTCTTGCACTACCCTCTATCCGTTATTGCGATAATACAGCGGTAGGATATGTGCGTCCAGTGTTCTCGTTCGAATTCCGCACACGTGACTCGCACAAACGTTCGTTTCCCTTCTGTTTCATCTTTCAACATCGAACCGACACAGTGTGACCTCTGTTGTTTCTTCTGCACTTCTGTCGCGTTATGTACATATATGTGTATGCGGATGTACTTGTATGCCTGTGTGTATGTAATTGTGCTGTACCGAAATATTCTTTTTAAAAGACCGTCAATTTTTAGAAATAGTCTCGCGAACAGCATCAGAGACTTCTTCTCGCACCAAATACACTTTGTTTCCGGATGGAAGAGGATCCAAAAATTTGTTCTTCCATCGACTCGTCTCTTCGAGCTTTCTCGCCGGAAGCTCTCAATTCCTCCCGACGATTATTGCACACCAACAGCTCCTGATTTCTCTCTTCTTCCTGTCGATATTCATCTTCTTGTCACTTTCTCCCAGCTTGTTTATACTTTTCCCTCGAACCTTCTTCGCGTATCCATTCATCCTCTCTTTCACACGCGCACGCACTCTCGACTGATTTTTATACAGATTTTTTTTTTTTTGGCGCCTTTTGTTCTCAAAAAGACATTTTTCTGATCGTTTTTTTCCCTTTTTTCTTAAAAAATTCTCACATTCGCTCTGACTTCGCTCGTAGATCCGATTTCAATCCCAAAATGATCAATATAGATTTGTTCTCTTTTTGATTCCCACATATATTTGCTTCGTTCTTTTCGCAGATACGTTTCTCACGATCCTTTAGCGATCAAATCGACGATCTTCAAAGACACATACTCTTCATCCTGGTTCGTTCCGATCTTTCTCTTCGGTGCTATCCACCTACGCTCGATCCTCGTCATCTTCTATATTCTCCTCTCGGTGCTGTATCTACAATCTCCTCTTCGTCTTCGTGCCCATCGTCGATACACGCGGTGTATCTCGCAAATGCGCGTAAGACACCGAATACAACAGTACCAAAATTACGATATAAACGATTACGGTTTAGGTACCGTCATGATTATTATGCATTCCACCCATCTCATTTACTGGCTCATCAATGTTCCCCTTCGTCTTCGTACGATCCCTCGATCATTTTAACATCATCGTCGTTTGCGTTCAATTCATTTCGCCGTAACTGTTTTGTTCCTATTTTGGAAACTCTTTAAGACTCGGTTTCCTCGTAGGTAGGAGATAAAACGGCAAAAAATAATTGTTCCTCTATAGAGCCCCGTAAATGGACGATGCTTGAAAAAATTTTTCGAGCCTTCTTTTTTCCCCCCAACGACTAGGACCTCTTCGCTTGTATTCTTTCTACCAAATACCGGTTTCTTCGAGCAGTCCTCGCTTCCACGTCGGACGCGCAAACACGAGACGATTGTTTCGCCAAGAAAACAACGGGATGCGCGTCGAAAGGTGGCCCAATCGATGATCCATTCTTCGTCGATCGCGCCATCGTTAAGCCCTTCCCGTTATCCTCTTGTCCTCACGTTTCTCTTCAGTCTTGGTCCTCCTTTTCCATTGGAAAAAAAATCCCCAGTCCGAGACTACCTCCTCCTCGATGAATTGTGAATCGTGCGTGATCTTGAGATCGGCGATTGTAACCGGAATGTATTTTTTAATCGATGCTTCGGCGACGTACACGTTCAGAACGTGGAAACGACCAAGATGGCGGATGAGCTTGGGAATGATAAAGGAAGTCTCGTTCTTGCGCGTAACGACGGCGTTCGCTCTTCTCTTCTTTCTTCTCTGTTGCCACCATTTTGTCCCATCCGTGCTCTCTTGCGTTACTCGAATAACTTTAGCTTCAGAGGCCGCGAGAAAAATTCCATCCGTGGGAAACGTCGGGGGAACCTCGGTTGGACGACTTTGAAAACGCGCGTTCGAAAATTACGCACAGCCATCATCATCCCCGCCAATTCATCGAACACACACCCTCCATCGTTTTGCATTAACAAAATATTTTATATCGTGCGTCTGTCGCACAGCTCGCACGTACGAATTTTCGTTTCATTTCATTTCGCTCTCTCTCTCTCTCTCTCTCTCTCTCGCCGTATGTACAACTTTGTTATCGTTACATCGTTTATTATCAATCGTCGATATCCTCTTCATCGTTGCGTGGGAAACGGGCACCCATCATAACGCGTTGCACGTTTACGCGGTTTCTCGTACCGTTAATGCGCATTAGCCGAACCTTAAACGTACATTTTGCATTTTACGTACAATAATAGATATACTTTTATAACTCTATTTCCTTACGTACTCTAAAACTTGACAGCAAATTGCATCGTGTCCGCGACGGAGTTATCAAAGGAGACACGAAAGGGGGGAGGGGAAAAATCGTCATCTTTGTTCTCCGGGTTCTCGTTATCACCACTCGTCATCGTACGAGTGATTATCATCTCCCTCGGCGTTTAATCGTTTTTCATCACAAAGATCGCGACTCGGTGCCCTTAACATTATCTACGATTTTTTTTTTTTTTACTGCTTACGGTAAACTCTCGTCGCCCTTCTATTCGTTGGAACGACAGAACAAAAGTTCTGACGACCTTCTGCTTCTTCTTTTTTTTTTTTTGTTTTTTGTATAACCTTATCGGACTCGTGAAGCCTATACTCGCGAACGCAACGGGCAATGGATACACATATAATACTTTTGCATCATCTTTGAACTATTTCCTTTTTAACTTTGGCGTGATTGTTATTTTTCTGTCTGCCTGAAACGTATTTTTTTTTTTCTCTCATTTGTCTCCAAGGTGAACGGGTCGAAAATCTTAAAATGGCGCTGATGAACGAGAAGAATGAATCCCGTGTCGTTTCTGAAGTATAAGCTTCCGCTGAGTAGTGCCATCTGGTGCACTGGCACGAGTCGCCTCCTTTCGTTCGTTACTTTGATCGTCGTTTCGATTAAAGCAGACCAGAGAATTCGCGGGACAATGCTCTGTACAGCGATGCTCGGTGTAAAATGTAAGCTTACAAAAGACGGGGAACAAAATATAAGGAAACCATTCGAAGAAGAAATGCCACGTGGTTCGTAGGACGTACCCTAACGATGAAGAGAAACATCTGCGCGCAAGAGAAAGGCCGTTTTCTTCGAACCATTTTTATTCCGATTCCGTAAGCGTTTTGTGCGCATCAAATCGCATTTAACACGTTCGTTGCGTGACGGAGATACGAGTTTTAAACAAATTTAAATTTCACACGCTGAATTTTGAAAAATAATAGGGATCTTATAAAGGAAACATTCCCACCATAAAGCCATCGCAAAATGGTAGAGTATAGGCGAGGTAAAATACTACCTCTTCCGGCAACGAACACGTTAAATTTCATCTCTTAACATTCTAAAATCCTAGTCTCCGACACGGAAATCATTGAGTCCAAGTCGATCGTTTCTTCCGTCTAGAGCAGCGAGAACTCGCGTTCGAGGATTTTTTCAAATATCCTTGAACGTACACGGCAGTTCGGTTTAAAACCTCTATACACGTAAACGGGGTATCTCGAGCAGACGGTGAGAAAGGATCTAGTACACTTGGATCCCACTAATCTAGGCCTACTAAAGAAACAGCCGTCGTTGAACAAGTTCTAATGTCCATTTTGGATCCAGCTTCTCCAACGAGGTCGGCGGAGGGAGCCACTTGTCTGTGGCCCCGCGAGTTCCAACCTTGTTGCTGAAACCTTATGACGCATATTCCATTAACCCCTCAGGCGCGACGCGACTTTCGATATCACAAGCTACACACGGTGCAGCTTGCCGTTTAAATTTTAGTGACCTTTGAAGGAGTTCTGTCGTAGAAAAGACGTTGAAAAAATAGGTGCGTATCGTCGTCGGACGATAGAGTTTGGATCCGTGAACACAGAAATACACTGCAAACCGTCGATCGCTATAAAAAAGATTCGCGAGTCGGTAACATTGCACGACAGTCGGCCTAAAAGGGTTAACTGGCTAAACTTAATTATCGAATGAGTATCGTTTCGTTTGAACCGCTTCTATAGCACGAAGCTTGTCTAAGGATCTGCCGACGATCCTCTGGAACGTTTGGAGACTAGAATTTTCTAATTTTTTAATACTGGCCAATTATAATCGCAACAGAGATCCAGCGGCGCAAATAACTTAATAATTGACGATTCGAATCATCGGTGATATATATCGTGAAATTTGTAGGCGGTGTAGCACACTTTTTTGCGTCAAGGGATCCGTCTTACACTTTAGAAA